TAAAATTTACAGGAGGCTTTTTTTTTTTTTTTTTTTTTTTTTTTTTTTTTTTTTTTTTTGGGAAATGGATGCACCTTGAGAGCATACTTTTAAGTGAAATAAATCAGATAAATCAGACACACATTGTGGCCAGGTGTGTTAGCACACACCCATGATCCCAGCATTAGGAAGCCTGAGGCATGAGAATTATGATGAGTTCAAGGCCATTGTGGACAATGTAGTGAGTTCAAAACCAGCCACGAGCCAGCAAGATAGCTCAGTTGTCTAAAGCTCCTGCTTAGGCAAGCTCAGGCAAGTGCAAAGGGACTGCGGTTCAATTCCCCAGCATCACATGCTGTAGTAGCCCTGCCCTCAGGGTGGGCTGAGCTGGCCACAAGAAAAAAAAAAAGACCAGCCCGGACTATATAGCAACCCCCTGTCTCAACAAAACAGCAAACAAAAAATAAATATCACATTGTTTTTCTTGTGTGAGAAACCAAAAGCACAAATAAGGACCAAAAAGGATGATAAATAAGAGAAAAAATAATTAAGATGTGTCATGGGGTCAATGAGATATTTCAGCGGACTAAAGCGCCTGCTCAGGCAAGGGCAGGGACCACGGTTCAGGCCCCAGCACCAGTGCCAGCCCCACCTCTAGGGTGGTCTGAACTGGCCAGAATCCAGCTGTAGTGGGGCATGCCTGTAATCCCACGGCTGGGGAGGCTGAAAGCAGGAGGATCACCACAAGTCCAAGCTGCATGGTGAGACCCTGCAACAACCAAACACATTTAAAAAAAAAAAAAGGTGTATGATGCACCACGTACCAACTCCCCATGAGGCATATAATCATTATGTACTGCACACAAGTACTAGTAACAGCTTTTTTAACAAAATTTTTGTTTTAATGTATTTAGTGCCGGGTCTACAGGGTCTCACAACACAGATCAGACTCGTGGCGATCCTCCTGTTTTCAGCCTCACTAGCGCTGGGATTATAAGCGCATGCCACCACACCCAGTCTCAATTGCCATCTCAGTGCGCCCTGGGGGCAGGGCCAGCACGGCAGCTGGGGAGAGCAACTCCTTCTGTACCCCTCCTGTCTCTCATGTGCTATTTATATTCCCCATTCTTTTTCCCCAGTAAATTTTCCTACTCTTAAAAAAGAAAAGCTGAGCCTGAGGGTGCACACCTATAATCCCAGCACTTAAGAAGCTGAGGCAGGAGGATCGCTGTGAATATAAACCCAGCCTGGGCTACATAGGAGCCCCTGTCTGGGGGTGGGGGGAAGAAGAAGTAACAATACCAGAAAGTGAATCAAAGATATGATGAAGGGGCTGGTGAGATGGCTCAGTGATCTAAAGCACCTACTTAGAACAAGCTTAGCAAAGCACAGGGACCGCGGTTCAATCCCCCAGCACCACATGCAAGCCAGCCCCGCCCCCTGGTGGGCTGAGCTGGCCACACACACACACACACACACACACACACACACACACACACACACAAATAAATAAAAAAGATATGATGAGATCAGTAGCTGCAAGAACTGTCTGAAAAAGTCTGAAAGCGGTATGAAAAGGAGAATAGCGACCTGCTATTTTTCCCAGCAAACGTCATAGAAGTGTTTGATTCTTTAAACTACACTATATGAATTTATAACTTTGATCCAAAGTAAAACTAAATTTAAAGTAAAGAAAAATACATCAAAGCCTGTTGGTTCAAGGCTGATCGTGACAGAAGCACAGGCCAGAGCCTTTTCCTTGTGAGGCAACACTAGGGATAGGCTGCCCTCAGGGTCACTTTATTCCTACCCATAGAAGCTGGGGAGCACTCCAGCATGAGTGGACCAGGCCAGGCTGGACCATGGCTCCCTCCCGCTCCTAACAGGGTAGGAGGTTCCAGATTCCCAGCTGCCACATAGGCGTAGTGCCCAGGGGCGGTGCTAGCCATAGCTTGCCTGTGTGGGGAAGAGACAAAGTGACGAAAAGCAGGCCACTTGGATGCCACTTTCTAATGGGAAGGCGAGGTAAGGGGAAACCGGCTTCCCTAGTGTTCATAGGAAAAAGTCAGAGTCAAAGAGGAAAAGGGGACTGCCCCACAATCACCCAGCAAGGTCCAACCAGCCGGAACTGTCCCTTGCCATATGACGTGAGTGCTACCAACACAGAGCTGGAGGCGGGCCACCCAGGGTCAAATTCCAGCTCCAGAATGCCTGCTTTCAGGGCTGGGAAAGGGAAAACACAGGCGATATGAGATGCCCTTCCTCTTTGGAGTCTGGAGACATTCAGACTCCTGGGGTTTGTCAGTAGGAACTGGACCAACTTAAGGGGACACTGCCAGCCAAGAATGGGATAGTGCCT